TCATCAGCTACAGGGAGGAAGAAGACCTTCTCCACCTGTGCTTCTCACATGACTGTGGTCTCCATCACTTACAGCAGTTGTATTTTCATGTACAGCCAAAGGGCATGAGCAAATCAGACTACAGGAAAATAGTCGCTCTTTTGAATACTGTCATAGCTCCTCTTTTGATTCCAATCATATACTGTTTGAGGAACAGACAAGTGCAGGATGGTTTGAGGGCTGAACTCAGACAATGGATTGGGTTTTGCAAGAAATTGAGATGATTTGCTATTGAAATGACCCTGAAGTAGATTTTCAGGTTTAAGTTCTTATATTGCATCTTGAAGTTATGGCACGTGCTGCTATCAGAGGTAATGATCACCAAGTGAGATGGTTTTACAAGAGGACTTGAGAATACATACAGAATTGGATGATGAGTGACTGAAATGTCTAATTGCTATCAAAGGCAGAATGCCTGAAATACTGGTTGCTAGTGATGAATAATAGAAGGAGACAATCACCCTTCTGTCCTAGTTGTGAGTTTACCAATCTCATCTGGTTGTGTACTTTGTGACCTAGCATGCATCAGCCCTTCACCCAATGCAGCCTCAGAGCTCTTCTCATCTTCTAAAGTGGAAAATACAGCCTGACTATTTCTTCTACCTGAGTATGTTTCATAAACTGGCACTGTATGTGACATATGCCACACAATACAATAAAGTGCTTTGCTATGATTCACTTATGGTGTCACAGAAGTGGGTTATGGGCTCTGTGGTTATGGAAAATCACCAGGAAATTTTCCTCATTGATGAACCTGAATATAAGACAGAATCCAAGGTGATGGCATAAAACCATGCCATCCAAGGTGATATCCAAGCTAGAAAATGTTGCCATTCTAGCTAATTTGAATTTGTTGGGTAATTCAAACCAACCTACAAGATTTCCTGCTCTTTAATCATGGCATCTCATTTCCCACGATCTACCAAAAATTCATCCACAGTTGTTTTTGGCATACTGGGGAAAGATGGTAGGAGAGACCTCCCTCCCTTCTTTTCTTTGCTCACCATGGCTTCCAGCTGTCACTTTTAGACTCCTGAAGTTATCCCAATAAATGGCACAGCTTGAAAGAAGAGGGAAGTTCTTGAAATGACTCAGAATGCAAAGAGGTTGGGATCTCCTGTGTCTTCAGGTTGGCATAAGAAGCACATCAGAGAAAATTGTGCAGTTGTTTTCATCTTCTCTTTGAAGGAAATATTTGTAGACATCTAGTTTCCACTAGACAACCCATGACCCATTTGGACATCTTTTCCATACCTAAACAGAGAAACAGAATTACCACTGGTGGGCAAAAAAGCAGTGGGAGTGGGAGCAACGTCCAGCTTCCGGCCGACTTCCCCTTTGACTTTCCTTGTGGGAAGCTGACAGGGAGCATTGAATATCTTTTCTTTCTTTCTTTCTTTCTTTCTTTCTTTCTTTCTTTCTTTCTTTCTTTCTTT